AGTATTAAGAAATGTTATACATAAAGTTTATGCGTTTACTTGGGAAAAAATATAGAACGGGTAAAGTTTTTATATTAGAGTTTCACTCTAAACATTAGTTATTAAAATACTAAAACAGCTTGAATTAAAATAATCTGATCTGAGCCTCTAATAAGCAAAGTGAACTTATTTTCATGCATACAAATTATGCATTAATTGTGCATAAAATACATATCTTTCAACAAGGGAGACAAAAATTTAAAAACAATTTATTATTTTAGTGGTTGGTTTATGGTATATGAAAAACGTAATGAGCAAAGGTTGTAAATTTGTAGCATTTTGCCCTTGGATATGTTCAAATGACACGTGACAGAACAATGTTTTGTTCTTTGAAATATTCAAAGGAAAAACGACATGAATTCAAAAAATTTATTTTTAAACATTAAAAAAAATATACACAGAATTTCTATATTCATACTAATCATACGATGCATAAATAAATGAAATAAGATGTTCGTTTCCTTACAGATTTTTTCTTTAGTAAAAATATATTCAAAACAAGAATTAATTTAATGAGTGGATTAAAACCAACAATAGTTTGGATTGCATAAAACAATTTGTTTAAAACTGCATAAACTAGTTTATTTTGAATAATTTTCGGAAATAAATGAATATTTTCAGGCATATATCAGAAATAGTTTTGTCTAGTTTTTGTATTTCAGATTTACTAACTAAAAAATTCTTCTTGGGTTCAGTGGCAACGACAACCATGGCCCATGGTTATCTAGTACAACTCCAATGCTCTTTAGTTGGTTTTGACATATATGGCGCACGATTATGATGACTCATTACTACAAGAATCTATCACACTTCTGATAACAGAGGCAAACAACAAAAAGATTCATTCCATCATCGGTGCTGATGCCAATGCACATCAAGAAATGTGGGAAAGAAACGATACCAATGAGCGAGGTGAGTCTCTGTTTGGTTTTATTCTTGCATGTAACTTGGTAATTGCTAAAGCATAAGGGAAATTGTCTAACTGGTCCATAACACAAGTCTGTTATTAACGCCGCCTGCGAACCTTTCGAACTTCGGAATATATTCGAGTATATTCAAACCTTTATGGTGGAACTTAACAATTGCAGATATAAAACTTGCAAAAAAGTATCTAATTGAGCTAAAAGTGCAAGATACTGGGCGTCATATCAAGAAAAGCAAAAGAAATTCAAATATACTAAGGTGGGCTAAAAAATAATCTTGTAGCGACTTCTGTGGCAATATAAAAACCTCTACTGAGACTACTCAAAATTATCGACTCTTTCCATAAGGCCGTCCGACAGCATTCAGACTCGTAAATCCTTCACTTTTAATCCAACACTTTTTGCCGCATCGCAGCATGCTTACACCAGAGGAAAGCCTGTCTAAACAACACTCCATATACTTATTTCACAAATTAACAAACAAATGCATCGCCTTCAGTGGATATGTTATAACGTGCCACTTTTCTTGGCTTTACTGATATCTAAGCTTAGATATAAGTTTGAAAAAATTTGTTGAGGCAGTACTCGAAACCAAGATTATCACCTTCGGTATTAGAAGTATTCAATCTCGAAGAATAGTTTGTTGTGGTACTCCACAGCGCAATGTTTACTATAATGGTCTTAGGATCTCACTTCGACTATCGAACATTAAAGTGTTTTTCAGGTAGTAGTAGTGGCGATTCACTAAGCAGCGAAATGAATGCTTTGCACCAAAATCCCTAATGTTAATATTGTAATCTTCTCAGACATATATGCTGTTATCAATTCTTTAGTAAGCGCTACAACTATATCTTTACCAGTTCCAGAACGCTGGACTTCTCTGAAAATGAGTGATGACACTTGCAAATTTTAGTAACAAATGTTTTCCTTGGAACATGACAACATGTTCCAATGGAAAATAATCAAGAAATGGAAAATAATCAATTTGCCTAAAACCTCCTAGATTATATACTTACATATACATTGTGCTGTTTTTTTTAGTTAAAGTTGAGCTTATTTTCAACTTTTTTGTGTTTAGTTTTAGTTAAATCCGTTTTTTTAAATTTATCGTGGTTTCTTTTTCAATTTGCCTAAAACCTCCTAGATTATATACTTACATATACATTGTGCTGTTTTTTTTAGTTAAAGTTGAGCTTATTTTCAACTTTTTTGTGTTTAGTTTTAGTTAAATCCGTTTTTTTAAATTTATCGTGGTTTCTTTAATTTATGTTTTCAATTTTTATTTTTACTTCATTTTATTATTTATTTATTTAACTTTAATTAGCCTTTCTTAATCGAATATATATTTTATTATATCTAAAAAAATCTTGTATTATATCTAAAAAAATAATATAGAATGAACGGATCTAACAATGTGTTTCATTATTTGTACTTTATTTGCAAACTAATTTTTAGACGATCTTCTATTTTAAAGTGAATTAATTACAAAGAGAACATTTTAACATTCTGTATTTCAACATTATTAAACCTTTTTGTGGATTATAGTCACCTCCGAAATTCAAGAAACTTAAAAACGAAACACTATTTATTTAACATTAAACATGATAAATAAAAGTTGGTGTGATTTTTATATTCGAATACACTTCGATCTAAATATTGTTTTCCGCAACAATGATCGAAAAATTTTTAATAGAAGCTTGAACCAATATAATTGCCGAACCTATTTAGTTAACAAAATTTAATGGAATAAAAATTTGTTTATTTGAAATATAGAATTTTATTGTTGTGTAGACTTTTATTTGACATACTGTAACTCCATAAAACTTCAAAATTGATCTCCTTAGCTAACAGTTTTTGATTAGAAGCTTACTTAGAACAGCCTTTCCCTTACATGGGAAGTCGTGAAGGACGTGGTGGAATATATATAAATCTTTAAGATTATATATTCTAAGAATATCATATCTGTCATATCATATCTTTCACAACTGTATCTACAATCTTAGAACTTATGCTAAAAAACTTTAAAGTTCATAAAACTCTTTATACTGGCTCAAACACGACAAATATTATAAGTTATGTTTATAAGGCTTACAAGGTGATGATATATTGACCCGATGATATATGCTTTAATAATGCAGCCACTTAATATATTCATGGAAATCAAGAAGCCTGTTATATGCCAGGATGTAGTCTACTACAGACTACACATCTATTACATGCTCGAAATAGATGTGTCAACAGAATGTAAGTTAACAGCATCATATGTGAGGACTTTAACAACCACATTGACATAAGAAATACTTAAAATGTGAGACAAATATTAATTTTTATATTCTTCAAATATCATCAAAATTTGATGCTCATCACCAAAAGAAGTTGTCATGTTCATGAGATCATATCTTCAGATTTTAATAACTGCTTTATAAGATTTTGTAGTTGTTTACTCTTACATTTTATATAAATAAAATTTATATATTATATGCATATTTATTAAATATACATAGATATTAACATCACAACAAATTATAGTAATGCACTTTAAGAGGAAAATATATTATAAAAATATCTCTATAAATTTATCTGAGAGATATTTTTATTTTTTTTTTAATTTGATTTGAATTTTTTTCTGTCTGATTAGTTCAATTTTTAAAGACATGGTACAAACAAGCGCTCCCAAATAAGTTAAAAAATACAAATATGCAAAACAGAATACAAATGTTCAATTTTACTTTTTTACTCTCTATTCTTGCTTCTTATCTTACCCTTATTGTGTCATTTTGCTGCTCGAATATTGAATATAAAGTAGCAAACTTAATTCAGCAATTCTATAAGATAAAAAATATCGGTAACATTCCGTTTGTTTTCAAAATTATTTAATAGAACTTAGATTATAGAAAGTTATAGAATATAATTTTTGTCATTAAATTGACAAAAATTGTCATTAAATAAAATTAACAGGACTAACCAACTAGTCAACTATAGTTATTCACTTATTTTGTTTACCCATGATCTAGTGTCAGTCCTCAAACTCGTAAAGTGAAACAATGCATTTGTAAAAATAGACAAAATATCTCGAAAACTAAAATCGATATGGACCATACCATATGAAACGCATACAAAAGAAATCTTACACCATAATGAAATCATGTTCAATCGAATCTTGAATAATTTATGTTTACTTTCTAGTAAAGTAAAATATTCTTTGCTTTTCGTATACACGGGTTATGGTTACTGAGGAAAAGCTTTCTGACTAGTAATAAAATAATATCCATAATATTTTCATTAAGTATTTTGGTTAAAGATGGGCAAAATATACATCTAACTGATCCACTCTGTGATAATCCAATTTAAAATTCAGGAAAATTATTTTTTAGAGAATTTTTGAAGCACTTTGCAAACAAATTCTGATAAAACTACTCGAAATATTTGGATGAAATAAAAAAATAAAACAAATTAATAAAATTTTGTTACCCATATTTGATAAATAGGTATATGATATTTCTACACCAATTGCAACTTGAAAGGTCGATAACTAGAAAATAGATTAGCTCACTCTATTGACACATAGAGTAATGAAAAAAAACGCTTATAGTATTAAAATTTTCTAAAAATTCGTCATGAGGTCGCGTTCCTCGGATTTTTAAAAAAATGAGGTTTTCATCAAAACCTAAGGTTTTTGGAATTAATTTAAAACCCGTTTCTCGTAGAACAAACTTTGTGTATAAAAAATTAAGGTTTAAAAGTCTTTTGAAAGATATTCTGATAAATCCTTAAAATGAGAGTTCTTCAACTGATCAATAAGTTCTTATACGGTTTAAATACAAACAAGGTTTTACCTAACAAGAAAAAACAAACAAAAAATTCGATGAGAGCATTTTTTGGTTTTGTGTTCGGGTCAACTTTATTTTGATACCTAGCATATTAGTTCATATTATAAACAGAACTTTCCTTATATACAACTTTTCCATTTCTTAAGAAACATATCTATATATATATTTTTTTTTCATAAATCTATAATCTTATATTTGTAAATCATACCCATAGCTTTTGGATCCAGTTGATAAGGAGGTATGCCACAATGCGCAGGAGGAGGCGTTGTTAGAGGATCTCCGTTGTGACAAAAAAAAGGAGGTAACCCAATTTTGTTTGCCTGAAATAAAATAAATATTATTTATTTAATGGAATAATACATAAATTTTTAAAAATACTTTTTGTAGCAAATGTGATATTTTTATTTCAAAATGTAATAACATATTTTTATTAATTTTATAGCAGTATATGGTAAGCGAAATTTAACCGATATATTAAATTTCGTTTGAATGGCTAAAGATCTAGCGATAAAAGCAAAGATTCAAACACGTTTTAATAACTTGAAATATCAACAATATATAAATTATTTAATTACACATATATTACAAGGGTTACAATATAAAATGTCATATATATAAAAATAAATAAATGTTCAATAAATATTTAAACTTAAATATATATATATTTTAATTTTTATGTATTATATTTTATATAAAAAAAATTTTATACACGAAAAACAAACAAAATTTAAGCTGATATACGAAAGCTGAGCTCAGTAGCACATCTTTCATTTCGGCTTTCGAAAGACAGAAAAGAGCTTTTCAGACGGCTGCTAGAATACAAAACATCTTTCAAAATATTTTTGACTGCGGTATGGTGAAAGATAGCTGCCAGAATTGCCCTGTAAATTTTGTCAGTATAGTTTGGAAATTATCAGTAAGGAATAAAAAGTAATTATTATAAATATTAAAAATTTTGAAAAGCTTTAAAGAATTGGTAGCTAAAAGAAATAGTTATTTAAAAAACGTGATTGAAAAAAGTAGAAAAGTGTAAAAGCGTTTTATAATACACACAAAATTACACAAATGGTTTAGAGTTTTGAAAAAGAAGATAAAAAATCAGTAAAGATAATGATCAAGATAAATATTGCAAGATCTATAGAATACAATACAATATACAATAGATACAACATTCAACCACAAAATAATAGTAGGGGATGATAGAGTAGAAACAGGACTAATTTATTTAACATGAAATAAATGAAATGAATTAAAAGAAATGGAAAAGCTGCTCAAAATCAAATACTAATAAGAAGCAATCAACAATTAAAGGATATTCTAACGTAGACGACTGCAAAGTAAATAAATGTGAATATATGTTTTTTTTCCTATTGAAATGTTTAATGGATTTCATACATACTTTAAGATTTAAAGAAACGCTTAGAATGCAAGTAATCACAAAAAAGTATAAAACTTTAACTAAGATTTTACTGCAGGTATAAAAAGAAAGGAATTTTACCAGTATACATTTAATTAAAATTAAAACAAAACGGAAAGATAATCCACCAGAGTAACAAATTTCCTTGAATAATTTTAATAAACCATTGTAGTATTGGAGGCTATGTTTAGTTTAGACGAAAGCTGGATACATATACACTTATTTCTGTACTTAAAAAAGTGAATATATCTCTAAGATGTGAAAAAGATGTTGGAATTAATTAATTCTTGTTTTCGAGTGAGTACTGTATTTGAATCACATGTATATTTGATAGGTGAATCAATAATTTTCATTTTCCATTACATTTTAAAACAACTTAACCTCAGTTCTTTTACCCATCATTAAACTTTTAAAGAACCTAAAAAGTGTCTATAACATTACGCGAACTATAAAGAGGATTTTCCCAATAACTCCGTAAAAACTATAACATCAATTTTTTAAAACAATATTAGCTGTTTAATTTCAATTCTAAAAAATATTATTAAAATGAAAATAAAAATTTGTAATCTTTACAATTAGACTACAACGGTATTTATTGAAAACTCAAATTATGTCAAATTAATCAATTTAGAAAAAACTTTATTTCTAAAAATACAGTTTTCAAAACAAAAAATTATTTATATAGCCGTAGTTAACTTATTTGAGCAAATAGAAAAATTTTTAACTAAATTAAACATTTAAAAAAACCACAAAATAATTTATATAAATATAATATATAAATAAAAATAAATACACTAGCTTGCAATTAACAAATGCATATAGCCTTAAAGTACTTAAAGTACTTATAAAAATTTATAAATCGTATAATTCTAAAATTCCAATATACTTTAAGATGAAATCCTGAAACCATAACAATGACTTACGGTGTTATATCGTACAAACAAGAAGATCGAATCTTTCCAATGCTTTTCAAACTTTCCTGAAAGTTTTACAAAAATATTTCCATCTCTCTTAAACAAAAAATTCATATTAATATACGAAGAGATTGTATAATAAATACTCGACATACACGAGTTCACCGAATCTAGAACACAATCGAATAATATATGTCTCACATCATAAGATATGGAATGCTAAATTGCTTAAGAAATTGAATCAAGGGTAAATGTTAACTTATTCAAAAATTTATCACTGATGATGTAAAATAAAGAGGAGCAGTAGGACTAGTGTTTTATTTCTCATATTTTATACAAATGCAGCAGAGTCAAGTAAACTTATAATGTTTGGAAAACAGTGCCTAAATTATTAACTTAATTACCACCTACTACAAATGCATTCATATTTGGTCAAAGACTAGCAAATTAAATAAAATACATCGAAATCAAACTTTCAATTTGATTTTATCAACAAAAACGTTTACTTTCATTGTCTTTTAAAGTTTCTATTTAAGTTTTTATAAATTTCTAGATTTTATATATTTTTTAAATAATCTTTTATAAAAAAAGGGTTTTTCAGTAATGTATTGATACAGAAAAGAAATTCGGGATCTACCTTTAAAGAAAGTTCATGGTATAGTAGTGCAATGGGTGGGCAATTGAATGCTGACGTAGTTCTAAGCAACCCCTAAGTAACTTACTTACATATACATACACAAACATTCGCATATATATGTTTATGTAGTGATGATTGCTTAATCTATTGGTAAGATGCAAGGGTGAAACAAGCACATTAAGGCATCAGTTTTAAAGGAAATTTAAGTTTTTTTAGCATTTATAACAACCCTCACTTAATGCAACTACCAATGTGTGGCACCAACACTACTGTCAGAACAATATTAAGCACCCACCCACTTTGTGTACGTACATTCAAAATCAAACACAGACGCAAGAAACACAAATACACATGCATGGCTTAGTAATTATAAGAGTTTGCGCCTAACAACCTCGCGCACAAAAGAAAAATCTGAAATATTGCAAGTTTTTTCAAAAAAAATTTAGCCAAGTAACAACGACTACACAATGAGCTTTCATATGTAGTTTCCTTATAATGACAACTCTGTCCATCAGAAAGTATATTTTAAAAATTTAATTTAAAAAATATTTGCACATTTTACATTTTACGATTGTGGTTTATTAAATTATTATTTTTGGGTAAAAATACTAGGGAACATTTTGCCTATTTAATTGTAGGTTTAAAATGAACCTTTCACTTTTACAATTATTTTAATAGACTAAGCAACTCTCATATATTCAGTTATTTACTAAAATTAGATTTCATTAACAATTATTGTATTTCGACCTTATTGAACTTTTAATTTTACCATGTGATCTCTAGTCCGATAAAGACAATATTTAATTAAGTTTTATTATCAACTTGAATTTCTGTATAATAAACGAGAATATCTGTATAAGCCTTTCAGTTAATATTATTGGTTTTTGGTATATTATTGAAAGACTTTCAATATAAAATACATAGTCATACCTATACCTACAATGTATACACATATACAACACAGTGTTCAAATTAATAGAATTGCGGCAACATAATTGACAAACGTTTTTTTTTTTTTTGCGAAACTTTTAATTTAATTCAAAAAAACTTATTTTAGTATAAAAATGTAATTGTCAATGGATTCAATGTGAGGATAAATAATTTATTTTTATAACAGTGTGATAAACAATAAACCAAATAAATATTATTTCACTTATTGTCATATTCTTACAACAATAAAATAAATAAATAAAATAACTCTTGCTATTTCTTTTACGAATACTGTTTATAGGTATCTGCATATCACAAATAAAGAAAAAACAAAAGCATTCAATGTTTAATAAATAATTACATTTTAAAAACAAAAACGCATGATAAAAACATAAAGTGAAAAGAGAAACTGAGAGGTCCGAGTTCTCTCTCTACCTGAAAGCAAAACAACCAAGTTTTTGCTTATCTCCACCAAAAATAATATATTATTTTTGTCTCCACTCATAAGGCCCTCTTCAAACCACGAGAAGAGAGAAATCAAAGTGAGATGTGGATCGCAAGCCTATTTTCCAAAGCAAAAGCTCCACATCAAAAATCATTAACAAATAAACAAGTATTAGCAATGCAAAAATGATAATATAACAATATTAATATTTGAAAAAAGTCAACTTAAACAAACACTAAATGAATTAAAAACATTATGGAACAAATTAAAAGAAGAAAATTATAAAATTTTTATTATTTTATATAATAATGCAATATTATCCAAATATAATAAAACATCAAAAGAAAATATAATAATTAAAAAAGAGTTACTTCAAAAAGCTCAATGGTTTACCTAATAATAAATACAAGACAGATAAGGGCTAGAAATAGGTCAGCCAGAGTATGTCAAAGATCGTTGTAAAATAACTCAAATAAGAAAATATATTCTCAATTCTTATTATAAGAGCTAATTATATTAATAAACGTAACTAACTATCCACCAAGAAATGAGTAACACTATCCAAAAGATAACAATGGGCGATAAGTGCACGAACAATCTTTGAAGGAACTACATATGTAAAGTGAATATAATCAAAGGTGTTAATTACAGGTCCATCAAAAAAACCTAACTGAGACTCAAATTTTTTGGCATTAAAAAACAAAAAGTACAAGTATTCTACTAAAATGATAAACAAAAAAGTGTTTAATATTTTGTTAATATCATTTATTGCATTGGAAGGTTTAAATAAAGCTTATTGGGACCGAAAATTAAATCCCACAATTCTCAAACACTGCTACAGCTCTGTCAAAGAAAATTTGGCTATAAAGCGACAAAAAATACAAGACGAAGTGAAAGATACCTACACTACATATGTATATTATAATAATCGAAAAACTATACTAATGCGGTTAATAAAAACGTACTAATTTACTGAT